CCTTAACCTGGTCTGCTGGATCAGAAAACTTGCACTGTGGTCTTCCTGCCCTTACAATTTGCTAACTCCCAACATGACTTTATTTGGAGTAAGGAAGGACAGTGATGTGTGATTTACTGACATTTCAGTCAAGAACCTACCACATATACTATGGTGGTCAGGCCCGGCTCCATCATCTTGCCTAGATGTGTACTGGGCTACACCACACAGGTATACACTCTTGCGTGTTCACACAAGGAAGAATTGCTGATGACTCGTTTCTCAGAAGTATCCCCCATTGTAAAGTGACACATGTAATTAAGGGTAATGAGTTCATAAGAGTGGAGCCTGATCCTTTATGATTACTGTTCTTACAAGGGGAGACACTAGAAAGCCCCTCTCCATATTCCTGTCAGGAGACACTGATGAGTCCTGTTGGAAGAAAAGTTTGGAATTTAAAAAATAACATTGTTTTGCTTTAATAAGCACAGATATTTTATAGAGCAATCTACTTAATCTTTCCTTAAGTGTATTACCAGGATAAGCCTTTTCTCTTAAGATAGATTAGCATATGCAAGAGACTTCTGTCTCACCGGCTGCGCTCCTCAGCAGTGTATCTCAGTAGATTCTGCTCCCCATTCTGTCTCTGGTGAATCCTCTCCTCCCGCCCCACCTCTGGTCTACACCCCAGTTCTTGAGTGCATAAATAAATAAAAGTAAATCTTTTTTTTTAAAAAAAGATAGGTTAGCTTGGTCCCCATTTGTGTCTATTTCTGCCTTAGGCACAAAGAAACTGGACATGCAACAATCTCTTGATATTTGATGATTTGCTTGTTGAGAGGAAAATTTACACTTTCATTTTTAAAATGTGAGGGTTATTTTCACTTTAAATTGTGTCACTATAATTATGCAATAAAAAACAAACACACAAATAATTTATCCAACTAAGAAAACTTATACACACACACACACAAACAAAAACCACTCCACATGTTTCAGCATTAGGGTTAGGAATATACATGATTTCCCACTGATCTTTCAGAAAGGAGAATCGCAATGTTACCAAAATGCTTTGGATATTGCTCTGGTCACAACTCTAGGATACTCTGCAACCCAGTTGTTTGTATTTAGGGCGACCTTATCTTTGTCAAGCAAACCCAGGCACCTTGGAGAGAAAAAGAGGGAGGTAATCAGGCAGAACAGCAGCAGGAAATCCAGGCGATCCACCCTAGTTTTATTATGCCTACGGGGGAAATGACATGGGATACCCGTAAGGAGATATACAGAGTATTCTGACGTCTTACAATGTACAACCTAGTGAATTTTACATATTTATAAAAACAGATCATTAAATGGAAGACATTCAGTGTCTAGGAAGACTGCTTAAGGTTGACTGTAAGTCAACTCTGGAAAGTGGAACATAAATATTATCCTAATGGGAGCCATCGGGACAAACTTTTAGGAATTCTGAAATAGGTCCTGTGTAAATGTAATGGTGCAAGCCAAAGTTACTCCATAAAAGAAATACTCTCGAGAGGACAGTAGGAGAAGGTGGTCCTTCGATAGCTCAGTTGGTAGAGCGGAGGACTGTAGATCGCGTCATTAGACATCCTTAGGTCGCTGGTTCGAATCCGGCTCGAAGGACAAGCGTTTTGAAATCATGGACTAAAAAAATAAACCCACTCGTTTAATTTAGGTCTTGATCAAAATTAAAGGAATAACCCCTTTCTCTCAGCAAAAGGATCTCTGCCAAAAGATCCCAGTAAAGTTGTTATTTATCTTCCAACGTATTTATCTCCCCTTCTCACTGGTGTGAAGTAAGTACGGAATGAGCTAGTAACACGTCTGCTTTTAGTTAGGTCGAGAGAGGACATTTCCAGGAAATCTAACTTTTCGCTCCAGAAATTCACACTCCCCACCACCTTGTCCCCTCACCTCCACCCCAATCACCCGCTGGCTCCGGGATTCTCGCCCCTTCCTTGTTTCCCGCCTATGATTATCCTCACAATTTTGATTCTCACCTTCTCCTCTCCTGCGGGAGGCAGAGGTTGAACTGCCCTGTGCACCCCACAGCCAATCCCAGATGGCTGCCCCCAAGGTTTTCATTTTAATTTGTATGGAGATTCGGATGCCTTTGGGGTCCTCTGTTATTTTGGCAGTTTTTGCAGAAGTCTTTTATTAGGAATAATTTCAAACATTCCCCCAAAGTAGAAAATAATATTATGAACTTCATCGTACACTGATATCACCCAGATACAACTACCATTTTCGCACATTCACCACAAATATCCAGTCCACCCCCGCCTCTGATCTTGCTACACAAATCCAATATCGCGCCCCCTGGTGGACATGCCCTCTGGCGACAAGGTGGGACCCAGCACCCCCCGGACGGCGGCCGGGGGTTGGGTGGAGGGCTTCCCCGGGTGGTGGTGCTTTGAGAACTGGATCGCAGTGAATACACAGCCACCGGGTTGCCTCAGTGCCTCAGCCTGCACCCGGCGCTCCGGGCGTCTTCTGCTTTGCCCGGAGCAACAGCTGGTAGGAGGGAGCCGAGTTCCAGCCGACACTGCCAGTGTAGACCTTCCTGGATTCGAAGAAAGGCCCAGTTGCTACATTGATATAGGAGCTGAGTCGCCAGGGAAAGAGCTTTCGAAGTCAGTTTTCAATGGTTCTGCCCGTTGAAAAGGACAGGCAGGACGTGATTGGTGTGAGGTGTGTGGATTGCTTGCCCTTTTATTCTAGGGTGCTATCAGAGGGAAGAGCATTCCAGCGATGAAACTGCAACTTGAAGGCCTTGTAGTGGGAATCTTGTGCTCAGATTAGTTTACAGGTTAAAAACAAACAAACAAACAAAACAAACAAACAAACAAACTGGAGAGATCAGCTCTATGCAGTTTTTCAGACAAAGATCGACTCCACAATGTCATGTGACTGTGAGAGACGCCTGGTTCTGGGATCTCAAATGAGAATTTATACCTTAGTGCTAGTGATGAAAAAAATACTGAGCATTTTTCAAAACCCATTGCTGCCCTCTGTGAAAACTGGTGAATTTTCATTTGAGAAAGAATGTGAACTGAGATCCTAGAATTTGGTTGCTCTCACATCTGTGTGTCTGCGCTTCGAATGTGCAGTGAGGACACTTGATACATGGAAGATTTTGTGTGTCACACAAAAACTGCCTATTTCTCTAGATTTTCTCTATACGTTGGCTTTCCACATGTTCCCCGGATGAGGGTAGATCATTGAAAAGTAATGTATTAGAATATACATTCTTAATTTCTCTAGAAATGAACTCAATAGCTGAATGAAATATTGTATGCTGCAGATATTTCAGTTAGAAATCATTGGACAGGACTCTGAAGGAAAATTTGCTATTTCTTTTTTTCAAGACTACAGTTATGGAGAGCTTTGATTTTGAATAAGCAATGATCTTTTATAATAAATTCACTAGAAATTGTTCCACAAATACATCAGGAAAAGCCTACCCATTATTTCTCCATTGTTGTGCATTTCTGTCTTGGCGCCAGGAAGAGGAATGCCACTAGGGGGCGCTCGTTAACAACGCATGGCAGCATCCCTGTAATGAAAGTGCGCTTTTTTTTTTTTTTTTAAGTTGGGAACAGGTGGTGTTTCATTTATTGCCCCCCTATAACAAGAGCCACTCAGTGACTAAAGACACAAGCACAGACACCACCTCTCAATTTCTCTACATATTATTTTCCCTGTCCCTTCAAAGAAGAGGACAGTAGATTCCAATTCAAACTAGTCTAGATTCAGGAGAATCGTATCATTTATAGCTGACTTTCGAGAGAGGAGGCGCTAAGCATACCGGAATACTAAAGGTCAAAGCCCTAGCTACATTAAATCTAAGGCACTAGGACAAAGTATACTTGATGTTTGCATCTTTAAGACCTAAGCATACAGTAAAAAGCAGAAATCCTGAGTGTCCAAGGCAATTTTTTTTAAACACAGTTCTGTAATCACTGTCTACATCAGCTTTAGAACATCTCCAGCACCCTAGGAAACACCTTTGTATGTGCATATATGTTAAAAATACAGGCAAAACTTAAAACTGTTAGGATATTTAAGATGTCCCAAGGTAACACAAATCAGAGCCTTCGATAGCTCAGTTGGTAGAGCGGAGGACTGTAGGTGATTTGAGTAGACATCCTTAGGTCGCTGGTTCGAATCCGGCTCGAAGGACTAACCTTTTAAAAGGCTGACATCCTGCAGACCTGTGCCCCTTATAAAGTATACAAAAAAATTTCAACACAGTGAGCCACAGGTTGTCATTTGTTCTTGTAGGAGAACTCAGGCTTAAAATCAACAACCTTCAGGCACAAAGGTGCTTCAATGAAGTTCCTTGAAGTAGGTCAGCAGCAGAAAGAATGAATTTCCTGGAATTAGGTGAGGGTCCTGGGGATTGTAAATAACGGCAAGGACGACAGTGCTACGTTCCACTTTTTGTTTTGGAGGCTCGATGGCCCTTTAGGGGATCTCTGTTATGTAGGTACATTCATGAATAAACGTTTTATAGCAAAATTTCCATTTAAAAGTATTCAAAACTCTAAATTTTGAAAAATTTCAAATTTTAAACAATTGTAAGCACTTAAATATAAGTAAACCTTACAAGGTGAGTCAGCCCTCAACTGGCGTCGCACCCAGGAAGCTTATTTTCATCTCTGGAACACATAGACCTCACTCCATTCCCCAAACAGTTGACCCCAGACGGCCTCAACTCGACTTTCTGCATTCCCCAAGGCGTTCTACAGAGTCAGCGATACTTGAGGATCCACCTCGCCAGCTCGGTCTCCCCAGCTCGAGACACAGGTTAGTTAGCTCGGCCACTCTGAACCGGTGCTCCAGCTCTCGCGAGAAGAATGTCGGGGCTGAACGGGAAGCCCACTTCCGCCCTCAGCACTCGCCGGGACACGCCCACCCTGCCCAACTTGGGCCTTTCATTTGTCATCAGACCATAGGTCCCGCCCCCTCGCCGCGACGTCGCACACTGAGCGCGTCTTTCGGCGCGGCGCTGTACGGCTGTCGTGCTTCCCGTATCCGCAAGCATGGAGGCCGACGAGTCGGAAAAGGAGGCTGAAGGATTAGAGGAGGACGCCGTGGATCAGGAACCCCTGGAAGGGACAGACCAGAAGCCAGAGGTGGAGGAGGATCCGGAGGAATCCGAAGAGGCGGCTTGCAGCGGCAAGAAGCGGGTCGTGCCCGGTATTGTGTACCTGGGCCATCTCCCGCCTCGCTTTCGGCCTCTGCACGTACGGAACCTTCTCAGCGCCTACGGCGAGGTCGGACGCGTTTTTTTCCAGCCGGAGGGTGAGTGTGTAGCCCTGGCAGTGAGGGGAGGAGGGCGGCGCCGTTGCTGGCTGCCCGAGTCTCACAGGTTTCGGGCGCCGGATCCGGCGACCCGGGGCAGGCCCCCAGCAACTTTGATATCTCGGTTGTGCGCGTGTCTGTTAGGAGGCTTGGGGGGCGTGTGGGTAGCGCAGGACGCCCCGCTGCACTTTATTTACAGGATGGTTTTTGAATTTTAACTTCGCTTCCCCCCACCTGAATTTACTGGTTTGTTAAATGAGTACAGCCTGAATAAAGATCCCCATGACTTTTTCACAAAACTGAGCACATTTGTCATCGTGCCCCAGAGACAGTGTACGAGCACCCGCCCCCATCTCCCTTACAGGCACGAATTGGAGTTGGGAGGGAGGGGTCTGTGCAGGTTTTAAAGAGAATCTTCTGAGAAGACCTGATTTAGAAGTTGACATTTGAGGAGAGGGTTGAGTTAGACGTGGGGAAACAGTGGGCCTTGCATATCTCCCCATCCTGGCAAAGACCTTAAGGTGGGATCCTGGCTTGCCTGCAGGTTTGGAGAACTGGGCCAACAGGAGGTGCAGTTGAATGGGTGCTGCATCGTCCCCTTGACCACCTCTGTCTTTGTCACACAGATGGCTTCGTGAGGCGGAAGAAGAAGGCAGCGGCAGCCGCGGGTGGCAAAAAACGATCCAAGTACAGCAAGGACTACACCGAGGGCTGGGTGGAGTTCCGGGACAAGCGGGTAGCCAAGAGAGTTGCGGCCAGTCTGCACAACACACCCATGGGCTCCCGCAGGCGCAGCCCCTTCCGTTATGACCTGTGGAACCTCAAGGTGAGGGTATAGGTTTGTCTGCACACATTCCCAGTCTTAACCCAGGCTCCTCTTGACCTCTTGTTGGCGCCAATCCTTCCATCTCCTCCATCCCTGGCCTAACCAGATCTTTTCTTGCTTTCTTGTCTGCAGTACCTGCACCGGTTTACATGGTCCCACCTCAGTGAGCATCTTGCCTTTGAGCGCCAAGTACGCAGGCAGCGCCTGAGGGCTGAGGTTGCCCAGGCCAAACGTGAGACTGACTTTTATCTTCGAAGTGTGGAGCGTGGAAAGCGCTTCCTTGCTTCTGATGGGGACTCTACCCGCCCGAATGGCTCTTGGGCATTTGCCCAGCGTCCAACTGAGCAGGAACTGAGGGCCCGGAAGGCATCTCGACCAGGGGGACGTGAACGGGCTAAGCTGGCCAATGTCCAGGAGCAGGCCCGCTCCAACAGAGGTCTTCTTGCCAGGATCTTTGGAGCCCCACCACCCTCGGAGAAAGTAGATAAACCCTCACTGGTCGAAGACTCTTGAGGGTTAGGGAGGCTTCTTCCTTCTAAACCGGCCCTACTTCCTTTCTACTTGATGATGTCTATATAGACACACTATCCAGTCTGTTTCTCAGACCGGGAGACTTTGATGAGTACCCAGACATAGAACTTTGTGGATCTTTCCTCTTCAGCTCCTAAGCATGCCTAACTGAGGCACCTAATTCGTACTATGATTATGACTACCATGGATCCAGTTTTGTCTTATTTGATTCTTGACTGCCTGCCTCCTACCCAGTGGGGCTCTCTAAAAATCCCACTTCTTGGTCCCAGGAAGAGCCTTTAGTTCAAGCTAGAGTGATAATGGCTAGTCCAGACAACAATTGACCAATCACGGGTAAAAGCAGCAGCACATCCTTTTTATTTAGAAAAGATTTAATAGGGACAGGGACTCATAGCAAGGTCTGGGTTAGGAACCATCTTCCAAATGTATGTATAGAAAGAAAAAAAACTAATTTTTTAAATACTTTTTGCAGTTTTGTTAATAGAGATTGTGGGGGCAGGGGAGGCTGTTGAATAACTTTCTCAACACCTATCTCCTTGTGTCTCATTCATCATCTTCCTTTCATCTCTTAGTCTTAGAGGTCCCCTCTATCCCCCATTCAACATGTACTCTTTCTAAATTTCTTGGCCCATTTTATCAATCAGTATTTACCAAATTTCTATATGAGGACAGCGTGAAAGTAGATAATGTCACATGGCCCTTGGCATTAAGAGTCTTAAGACTGCTAAAACAAGACATTAAAAATAAGTACATAGTTTCAGAGATGAGTCCATTTTCATCAATTTTTGCAGATCATTCCTAAAGTCTCAAAGAGCCTGGGGGTTTCTTAAAATTGCGAATAGAGTTCCATGGACAGGGTGTTGGCTTCAAACCACTGTGAAGGGGTAAACAGATAGAGGAACTGAAAGCAGATGTCAGAATGAGTATACACAACTTCAGAGATTAAAACTCCTGTCAATATCCAGGTTGTTAAATTTACATGAAGTGGTGGAATGGTAATTTGGATTTTTTTTTTGCACTTTGTTTTTTTTCTTCATTGTCAGTATAAATAGCCATGTATTCTTTCTGATGAAGTGGATTCACCCACATCTTTGACTCTAACCTTGTTAGCATCTTGCTGGAGAAGATGCTAACATATTATTTAGGAGAGGAAAAATGCCCTGTAAAAATTATATTGTGCCTGGTGTAACGTTTTCCACAATCCATATATCTCTCACATCTAGCACCCAAATATTTCCTTGGTAATTTATTCCCTCATCTTAGGAACTTTCTACCTTTGTTTCTGTGTTTACTTCTTTTGAGTGTTTCACTAGATTGTTTCTTCAGGCCACATCTTCCATGTAAACCAGAAAAATCCACTGTCAGAATTTGACAAGCTGTTGTATTCATTTATTCAGAATTTTAAGTGCCTTTTCCCCACCTTTGCTAGATAAATACTAGGATCAAGAAGCTTCCCACCCCCTCACCCCATGCCAGGTGCTAACAGCTAGAAAGTAAAACATAGGACTAATTATTTCTTGAGTGGATGTCAGAAATTGTGTTTCCAGGTCAGCTGGTGTTAGGTGTTTAGAGAGCTCACACTTGCAGCCAGGTCAACTGAGTTAGTCACAGTGAGGAATGAAAAAAGTGAAAGGAAGAAAATGGGCTTCCTAGAACTCACTTTTATTCCCTCTAGAATTTAGGCCCTTTGAGGGCAGGAAATTGCTTTTCACTCAGAATTTTGCTTCCATATGAGCGCACTTAGTTTTCCTACGTGAATTAACTCATTTAATATACAGCCATGCAATATCGTATTATTCCACCTGCCATTAAAACCATGCTCAAGGTTATGACACAATTTGACACTTAGTACATAGGCCCAGGTTTTTCTTCCCAGTGTATATCTGATAAATGCTGATTGCTTGAAACTCATGAGTGAAAAGTCACTGCAAATTGAATAGATTTATCTAGTGCCAAGAATAGCAAATTGGGTGATTTAAATCTCAAACCTCTCCTATATAATCAGACTTGGTTATGAACCTGTTGCAGTGAACACAGAATTTATCTAGTTCTTCTAATAGAGAAGCTGGGACTGCCTTTGCTGGAAAGAGTAAATCAGTAGAAGGAACACACTGAATCCTTCTAAAGAGGGGATTTTAATAGGTGTGACCAGCTCATGGTGAACTAATTCCCATACACATCCAAAAGTCAGATTTAGAGCACTCTTCCTCGAGTCCTGTCCCTAGAGGTGGTTCTCTTAGTAGAGTTTCAAGGGAGAAACTTTGTGTAAGCATTTATGTAGCCAGTTGTTTGAGGTCCAGTGTTAATCTGTCCTGCGCAACTTGAGCCTGGCATCTGATTTGCAAGAGATGCGGTCATTTTCTTCCTCTTGGGTCAGTTGTGTCCAAAACCCCTACTGCCGCACAAAGTTGTATCTGAGACGCCCAGTAATACGAATGGAATGGAAAGAAAAGGGTAAAGTGGTTCTAGTCTCTTAATTTTTTATAATATAAACATCCTGAAGACTCCCCTGTACATCAGTATAAAGTGCCCCTCACCTCCTCACACTCAGGCATCAGGGCCTTAAGAAGGGCGCAGGATTTACAAAAGACCTACACAACACCCCAAGAGGAGGGGCCAGGACTGGCCTGGAAACTCATCAGAGGGTGAAAGGGGCGGGAAGGACAGGAAGAGGTTCTTGAGAAGCCTGACTTCTCACTGGCGAAAAGCAGCTTCTATGAATAGCAGCTTCCTGGTGCCGTGGGCCCCAGCATCAGAAGAACCCGCAGCATCCAAAGGCTCCTGAGAATAACCATGGAACCCACTCGAGTCACCACCCACTCCCCTCCCCTACCTGCAGCTTCACAACCTAGGATATGTCAGGCCAGAAATCACCTGTTCTCAGCCTCACTCCCCTTTGGAATTGTATGTTTCTGGCTTATTTTTAAGATTGATTTATTTATGCATACAAGAGCTGGGGTGCAGGCCGCAGATGCAGGAGGTAAGAAGATTCTCTAGAGACAGTGAGGAGCAGAACAGGCAGACTTACTAAAATACACTGCTGAGGGGAGCAGCAGGCAAGACAGGAGAGCTCTGCTGCGCCATGTGTCACCTCTCTGGCCCAGGGTTGAACTGGTGCTGCTGCAGTGGCTACAGATAGCTTCATACTGCTGCATCTCAACCCTTTGCACCACCAGGGAGGCTCATGGTTCTGGTTTAAACTCAATACCACTTAGGAATAGCTAATTCCAACATAAAGGTTCTCAGCAGAAAAAAACTATTCTAGAGCAATATGCTAAAACACCTCCCTTGCATTAAATTAAAAAAAAGAAAGTGCACTTTGGGACATTTTCCATGCACATAGAAATAGGGCAATAGATGGTGAAGCCATCGGATGCCTTTTGGTGGGCACAGTAGTGCCATTTGATGCTATACAATCTTTCAAACCAGTGCCTGGAATTTCACTGTGTGATCACACTGAACTTGTGATCACAGTTCACTGTGTAACTTGTTTTAACCTCTTGCTAACATGAGTGAATGGTTTCCAAATACTGCCATAGAAATGCTGTAAATAACGTATTGTATATATATATTAATGTGGATGATGTGAGTGTGTCTGCAAGATAGAACTTGAGGTTGGACTTGGCCAAGTGGAATTTGCATTATAATTATTAATAGAAATTGTAAATTGTCTTTCACATAGGTTGAAATAAGGGCATAGGGCAGGGAGCTTTTTCCAGTTTTGCCAACAGTAATTAGTGTTTTCTACCTCCTTCCCTGTCATTCAGTATTTTCAGTGAATGCCTTAGTAGTTTTTACCCACCATTCAGCGTTCCATTTCCCCTGAGTAAAGGTGGACTCTATGGGGTCTGCAGCCTCTAACATGGCACATGGGGTAACCATGTCCAGTTATGATGGGGTGCAGAAGGATGCCCTAAGCACAAAACAACTAAGGAATTCACAGGAAAAAAAACAATCTAGTTGAAAAATATAATTTTAAGAAAATAAATACCTTTAGCTAAAAATAGCTTTTGTATGTCATTATTTCTCAATTTTCTTTAGAACGCATAGATTTACAGAAAAACTGTGACTGATACTAAAAGAGTTCCCACTTAATTTGGATCAAATTTCCTCTCCTAGCATAGTACATTACTATGATACATCCATGCATGTACACACACAGACACACAAATCCACAACATTATACAAACAAAGCTGGTTGGTCTACTCTTGGCTAAGAATTCAGGGATCGCTGAAAGATCCAGTGTCCCTCAAGCCAGGGATGCTGATCTGCAGGCTCTACCTACCCTTACTCTGGGCAAAGTACTTGGACCACGATGGGGGATTCAGCTGCTTCTGACTTGGAATCGTGAATACGCTGCTAGAAATATTCAGTACACATTTTGTGAGGACAGAAGTTTTAAATTCATCTGGGTAAATGCTAAGGAGCAGGATGGTTGCATCATATGTTAACATTTTTGGCTTTATAAGGAATAGCCAAACTTCCAAAGAGTCTGTTCCATTTTGCACTCCCATAATATGACACAAGGATAGAATTAGATGGAAATCAAGCAGAATGAACCTATATACAGCAAGCTTGAAGATTTAAATGTGTGGGTATATTACTTTATATTGAGAAAGAAACCTTTAAAAACCAGTGTATGTTCCAGCAAAATTTCTGTGATGTACTAATTTACTGCTTTAAGAAAACACTGTAATGCACACTGTTCTATAGCCATGAGAATGCCACCTTTCAGAATCATTTACTAGTGGTGTTACTTTAGGGTCATCTAGAAACTGCAAAAGAGAATAGAGGGAAACAGCTACCTGTGGGTAGAGCAATCTCTGTTTAAATGAGTCATTTGTGAAGATTTATAGTCAAGACAACAATTTAGGTATTTCAACCTGGTGGTCCACAAGCCTACTCAGACCCATAGGTTGGTTGAATGTTCTGGCTGTCAATTAGGTACCAGTATCTCCACATTTCTTTGAGACACCGAGTTAGTAGTCTGCAAAGGTGATAATAATTTACATTAAAATTTACAAAGAAACCAAAGTATTTTAAAACATCGTTTCTTATTGCTGCAGTTATGACTTTTGGTGTATATGTTTTAGGAAGCAACTTAAAATAAGCAGCCTAAAGAATAACTTAATGGTGATAATTCCTCTCAACATGGTTCACAACTCAACAAAACACGTCATCTCTACCTTATAAGCAAATATTGTCATTTATTACTTAGTCTAAATACTTCTAATAAGCAGTGTAAGGGGCAGGACTGGACACGGTGCAGGTTCTCTGATCCCATGCAGACCGGGTAAAGGAGGAGTCAGAGTCCTCAGTAGTTTTGCAGGTTTTTTATTTGGGGTTCACCGGGCATATGGCAGGCAGGGGTGCTGGCTGGGGGGCTGGGAGGCTGGCAGGCCTCCCAGCCCCCAGCAAGTCTTCACTCTATCTGGGCTCTCTGGTGATCTCGGCTTCTGCTTCGGCTTCTACTGCTGCTACTGGTGCTGCTGGCGTCCCCCCGTGACGCCGCCCTTAAAAGCACAGTCCTAGCTCAGCTGAATCCCATCTTCCTATGCCCACACCCTATTCCAGGTGCCCGCCATCAGGCATGCATTCAGGACAAGGATCCATCATCTATCCTGATGGCGGAAGGGCAGAAAAGCCTGACATTCTCTTTACCCTACAAGCAGTAAGTCAAGTCACTTTCTGAGAGAAATAAGAAAGTCTAAGTGAACTTAATTTCTAAGTCCTAATGGATGATCCCCACCCCACCCCCACCCACCATGGTCCAGAGTAATTTCAAAACAATACTTGGTGAGTCAATAGGTATCAAATTCCAATTAGCCTTTCTCAGAATAAAATCTATATTCTAGGGAGAATAGTCCATTCAAAAATGTTTTAAAATCTTATTGAAGGGTGACATAATTGTTTGAAAACTGGGATGGCATCCGACTGAAATGACTTACATTTCATCACTTTTTAGCTGTTTCACATGTTACCCTTCTTTCTCATGGCCAGCTCCTGGAGAAAAAAGCTGTTCTGAATCAAGCTTGTATACTCTCTAAGAATTTACTACACTGGACAGATAAAATTCACCCTTATTATGCTATTTATACTTTTTCTCACAAACTCTGGCAGAAACATGTTGAGTTTCTTTGGTTCAGATACACTCTACTCTTCCAGTTATTTCTAAGATGTCTATCTATAAACCTGGACGTCCTGGTTTGGATCACTTCTCTTACAGCTCTGGATTTTTCATAGAACATAAACTGGGAGAGGTTGTCTGTCCAAGGCTAGTAATCCTTCCGTGACCCACACTGGAATTTAAAGTCTGGTCCTAAGACTTATTTCCTTTCTTGTTCTCTCACAAGCATGTTTCCAACACTCCAGATATACTATGTTTCGCATGTTTATCAGTCCTGGTCTGAACTCTTCAGTGTAATCCTGCTCAACATTCTCTTTTTTTGAAGTATCATCTGCCTGTCTCCATCTCTTGAACTTCTATCTAGCTTCAAATGTTCATATGAAGCATCAGCAACACTATAAAACCTACCTGACTATGCATTATCCTGTGTGTCTCTGTTTTTTTAAAGATTCATTTATTGGGGCATATATAAATAAATACATTTTTTTAAAAAGCTATCCCCAGCCACTGCAGCTAGTGTTCGAACACAGGCCAGGAATTTATTTATGCATACAAGAACTGGGGTGCAAGCCAGAGATGCAGGGGGATGAGAGGATTCACCAGAGACAGAGTGGGGAGCAGACCAGGAGGATTGACTGAAACACACTGCTGAGGGGAGCAGAGGGTGGACAGGAGGGGTCCGCTGCACCATGTGGGTAGCTCCCTGGCCTGGGTTCAAACACTAGCTGTAGTGGCTGCGGATAGCTTCATAGTGCTGAGACTTATGCTCTTGTGCCACCAGGGAGGCCTCTAAGTAAGTTTCTGAGTGGACTAGTCACACACACTCACACACTTCACGTTCTGATAATGCATATTGTCTCTGCCTATGTCACCTTGTTTACAAGTGCTTTGCCCTTTATCAAATATGAATTAAAATCACTCCATTGATACCTGCAATACCATGGAAATGTGCGTGTGTCTACGTGAGGAATGGTGAGCATGTATTTTTGGAAAGTACAGTAACCGCCCTAGCCTTGCCATCCGAGGGGCAATCATACCTCTCTTCACACATTACTCCTCTGACAGTCTCCTCGCTGTATTGTACCATCATCAGGGTCCTTTCCCGTCCTCTCCCCAGTGCTCATGCTACAACTTCAAAGCAGAGCTTTCAGCACATTTCCTTGCTTTCACTTCAAACAGCCGGCCTGAATAGCACATTATCTGAGAGTCAGGATGTGCTGCCATTGGCTGCCAGGAGGACACCGTTTATTTCCATGGAAACTGCCTTTTCACCTCGTGCAATCCAACTTAAGCACTGGCTTTGACAGGAACAACAGCTTCCACATTGTTGCTGACCTAGAGGGTGACACTCTCAGAAGGAGAGAGCAGTTCCCAGAAAGAATCACAAGGAAGGATTACAAGTGTGTGTTCACCCACGTGGGACCATGTGTCTGCAACTTTTATTTCTTGATGTTTCACTGTTGTAAATAACTTATTATATATCTTGGGTCTTTGAATATTAAAAGATCTTTGAAAGGTATTTTATAATTTTAAAACAAAGGTGTACACTGTTCTAAGTTATTTTAAATTCCTAAAACCTGTCAAACATGACAAAAGAATTCACCAAGGGCCTCCCTGGTGGCAAGGGGTTAAGTGTCAGCACTATGACACAATCCCCAGCTAGAGTTCCATCCCTGGCCAGGGAGGAGATCCACATGGTGTAGCAGACCTCTCCTGTCTCGCCCACTGTTCCCCTCAGCAGTGTATTTCAGTCAATCTGCCTACTCTGCTCCCCACTCTGTCTGGTGAATCCTCTCACGCCACCCCCCGCTCCCTGTATCTCTGGCCTGTACCCCAGTTCTTGTATGCATAAATAAATAAATCTTTTTTTAAAAAAAGAATTCACCAACATGTTATTAATGGATTCTCATATTCCCTGTTCAAGTATGAGTGTTTTGTCTTTCTTTTTTTTAACTCGTTCATTCGTCTGTCTTGCATTGGACAGATTTAGAATAAAGCATGCATTGATTTGACAAGAGAAATAAAACTAATTATCAAAAATAAACATGAAGATAGTTTAAATAGGGAAATTGGTAACAGCCTACTAAGAAATCACATGTGATTATGAGGACATTTAAAAAATTCTGAGTAGCTCAGTTTTTCAAGTGTCATATTTTTTTCTGGCCACTGGGGAAAGTAACTTCCTTACGTATTCTTACAAGGTTCTTCCAAAAAGTAACAGCATTTAATATTTAGGTTTTTATTCCCTTTTGCTGATACTGACACATCAAATAATAAAGATAACAAGAAAAGACTTCCTTTTACATAATGCTTAAGAATAAGCAGGGAAAAAAACCTACCCAAGTTACCAGAACTCTAATGAAATTTTGGAAAAACTGAGTAACAAATATTCAATCTTATAACTACACTGACGCAGGTATGATGATTATTTCAAGTTTACTGAGATACAAAGAAGTTAATAAATTGCTGACATTCATAAAACGTGTAGATGACAGGAGAGGGATTAAAAGAGGTCTGCCTCCAGACCCATGTTGTTATCTCTGTGTTTTTACATATTTGAAGGCTCATTTCCTGGCAGAGTAAGCAAAAACTGGCACAGCAGGAAAACAGTAACAGATGGAACAAAAAACATTTGCAATCACACTCAAGCAGGCTCCTTTGCAGTCATCATCCACCTGTGGATTCAAGTTTTCATTCACTCATGAACTCTGATACTGCCGGACTGAATTTCCTCCAACGTTTATATACATAGAATTTTCTATTAAGTTCTTGACCAACATTCTTTGCTGCCATGATTTTCATTTTTGCTCCTCCTCCCCCCCACCATTTTTTTTTAATTTTATATGTGAATTTTCCATCTTTTTAAAATATTTATTTATGCATACAAGAGCTTGGGTATAGACCAGAGGTGTGGCGGGTGAGAGGATTCAGCAGAGACAGAGTGGGGAATGTAACAGGCAGATTGACAGAAGTACACTGCTGAGGGGAGCAGCGGGGAGACAGGAGAGGTCTGCTGCACCATGTGGGTAGCTCCCTGGCCGGCCACTGGGATCGAACTCATGCTGCAGAGGCTGCGGACAGCTTCACAAGCTGTGTCTTAACCCCCTGCACCACCAGGGAAGCCCCACCATTTTTTTGTTTTAATCGTATATTTTTGTTTCGCTCCCCTGCATGTAAAGCTCCCATCTGCTGTGAATCTCAGCTCTGGGTTTTTGTCCCTGGTACTTAAGGTGCACTTATGTTGGGGGGAAAGGATGTCCTGAACAAACTCCACAACCAAGTTTTATGGACCCCAGCCTCGGCCCAGACCAAAGAGCTCCAAGACATCAAGGACTACAAATCCCATAACGTCATCACTGCCGAAGGGAGGGTTGCTGGGAACTGAGGGTGGAGTTAAGCAGCCAGGCTTGGTTTATAACCAGTCATGGGGGCCTTGGGGGTGCTTGTTTTTTTTCACAGTCCTTTAGTGGGCTGTTGGGGTTCTAGCTCAGCGGAACTGGTAGGACGCATTCACCAATTTATCTCTCTCTCTCTTACTGAGTTTTTCATTTCTTCATTTCCCCTTTTTGTAAACAAACCCTTTATTACCCCTTTTTGTTTGTGCCTACACTTGAGTCTCATAAGGCCCTTTAAAGCATGCGGGTGAGGACCCAGAGTCAGGCCAACCCATTTCACATTGGGGTTGCCCTGTAACACTTAAACCTTTTGAACTCCCTGCATGTATGTGTTTGCTTCAGTCTCCATAGGCAAGTGGCATAAACTCAACTTTGAGATTCATGATCCTTCCTTGAGAGATTAAGATCTCTCCCGAGAGTCTCTCATCCACGGGAAGTTAAGAATTATAATTGGGGCCTCCCTGGTGGTGAAAAGGATTAAGCACCACGCTGTGAAGCAATCCACAGCCTCTGCAGCACGAGTTCGATCCCCGGCTGGCCAGGTAGAAACCCACATGGCGAGGCAGAGCTCCTGCCTCTCCAGCTGCTCCCCTCAGCAGTGTATTTCAGTTAGTTTGCCTGTTCTGTTCCCCACTCTGTCTCTGTTTTTCTTTTAATTCATGACTACACATGTTTTGTGATGGAAAAGTCACATGCAGATTACTGTAACATGGTCAGGGGTACTGAGCAGAGAAACATTTTCTCTTTTTGGGATCTTTCTGGTATAAAATTAAATTAAACTGGGGTACAGGCCAGAGATGGGAGGGGTGAGAGGATTCACCAGAGACAGAGTGGGGAACA